GTCTCGTACAATAATTGTACATATAGTCATCGCAAGTGTTGTGTGAAAAGTCTCTTCTTGACTCGTGTTTGGATGTCAATCATATCGTGTATAGTGTAAATTTTTCTTCGATAAACCATATTAAAATCCCCGAGACTTGTTGAGGTAAGAATCATATGATCTTTCTAAAATATTGGGTGGTCCAGTTGAAAATTTCAAGTTGATGTCATTTTTACTACAAAAACCTTTCAAATTGCTTGTCAAACAAAGGCAATCTATGCCTTAAAGAAGAAAATAAAGGAGCAATAAATGCACAAAAGATATTTTCCTTTTGAAAATCAAGGTTTCTGATAATCATTTTGGTTCATATTATGAAAAATAATACTTTGTAGTTCTACAATAATTCAAATATATCCAACTTTTGAAAATCAAACCTGAAACAAATTTTCTCTCGTATGGTTGGAGAGCAGATTCTTATCGGTAGAATTTTTAATGGTAAAGTATTGTGTGACAATGGGAGAGGCTGTACGCTAAAGATTTTATTTAAATAAATAAATTTATTTCATTTCAAATAGCTTAAATTTGTAGGCGAGAGGGTTCACCATTACACGCATCACAGTAAACAAGTTTTAATACCAATTTGAAAATTGTGTAAGCGTTCACCGTTGCATGCATCAGAGTGAACAAGTTTCAATACCAATTTGAAAATTGTGCGAATGTCAAACTTTTGATAATAAAAGATTTGACTATTTAAATAAATAACTAAATACTTTGTCATAGTTCTTAAAAGGATAAGAAAGCAAGAACAAACGATCAATATAGGCTCGATCTTGACTACAAGAGCATATTGCGTAAACACCCTGATACCATATTATTAATGCTTTCAATATACTTTTATTTTCTGACAACGCTTCCAATATTTATATATAAATAGATAAACTCATAAAGTGTATACAGAAGGTCCCAAATGAGGTCGGCCTCGATTAAATACTCAGTCAAGTCCTTTGTTGATTCTAGAGATGAGAAATCAAAATGTAACCAGATGATAAACTGCATGATATATTGATATTTCAAAATATTGTGCTTTCACATCCATAATCCATGGAGGAACAGCCTGGGCTCTCTTAGATACCCCACACATTAACTCGATTAGGACCCTACTATGTACAGGGAAAGTAATAACTGCTCATAACTAAATCCTACAAATTGAGGATATGCCTTGTCAACTCACTTGTCCCTTTCTTGGCGAGTACATCGATCGGCTAGATAGTAAAGTTACATTTTTGCCAATAGTATAATTTGGTAGTTTAAAAAATAAATATTGACTTATTTTTTGTGTCATGTTAGTCCCTCCAAACACAGAGAATGTATACTTATTTTCATTGTATAGAATTTTACTTTCCATGTTCCCGATATGATATGGAAATTCCAATAGCCAAATACAAAATCGAGCACTATTCGTTACGAAGTACAAACTTGAGCATTTCAAACTCTTATACATTGTGTATAATATTTATGAGTGTCATCATTATATCCTCTGCTATGCTCTTAGAGTTTCCGAATTTCATTAGAAAGAAAACTTATTTTGAGTTTTCAAAAAGTTTGGGTTTTTTCCGTAACGTTTTCAAGAAAAAAAAGAAAAACCCTGGCGCCTTATTGTAAAAATATATAATAGAAATATTTTTGGATAATATATTGTATATAGAGAAACAGAATGATAAATATCTGGGGTAATGGCAAAAATTTCACTTTCGAAGCTACCCTGCACGCAAGTATACATAATTCACTGACGCCCCCCGGGGACATAGCCTAGTAATGCAAAGGACAGGAGTGAGGTTATCTCACACCTTGCTGGCAGCCGCAGTGTGGGAGTTCGATTCCTGAGACATAGAATTGGACTCCTTGTAGGCGCAGTGTACAAACAACTCTTATTCCCTGGCTTGTTGGGGCACATCCCGTGATTTACCTCTTTCACAAAGTTCTAGGGACGGAGCGATGGGAGCCCTCAAAGTTGGGGTTCAACCTTTATTTTTAATACATAATTCACTGATGATGTATCAGTGTTTGGTCTTCTTTAATCTTTCGTTTTCGTCCTCGCATGCAAAACGTGTCTCAAGGTACTTGCCTACTCAAAGTGAGGAAATAATACATAAGAAAAATGAAATGTGGAGAGAGGGAGAGGGAGAGAGAGTTATGGTGGTGGAGCATGTCGGACCACATCGATGTTAAGTTGGTTATTTTTCTAAAAGAACTTATGGAGAGCTGTCAATATGCTTTTTAAATTATTTAATATTTAGTACAAATTAAGGAATACTTGATGCTTAAGTTGTCGGTGTTCTACAAATTTAACGTGTTAGTTCTGACGATTAACAAATCAATGAGCGTAACATTTACTACAAGTTTTATTTTAACAACCAAAAATTAAAAGTCTCTTGGACCCTTTTTCGAGGAAGCGACCAATAAATGAGTTTTTGCAACAAAGATTTCGCTTATATCATATTGACTTCTTGAAGTTGGGTTACAATGATAAAATTATGAAATCTCCTTCAGTAACAAATTCGAAATTGATTAGGAACTCGAGAAAAACTAGCTATACTTAAAGTACGATAGCAAGGAGTACCACTCATGAGAATGAAGTATAGAGTCTTTAACTTTTACATTGTACTCCACTCTGTACATGAGGTAAATTTACCTTTTTATTATGCTTTATCCAAATCATCGAGATCGGGATGTTAAATCGAACTACGATCGAAAAAAAAAGTATAAAATCTAATTAAGGCATATTTGGAATGGATTTTGAGAATTGATTTTTTGACCGTTAGAAGAAAAGTGGGGTCTACCTGTGAAGGAAGAAGTCAAAAATTACAACTAAAATAGTAAAATAACGATAAAAAAATCAATATTTTTGAGTAAAAAATCCCTCCCAAATAGGGTGTAAATCCCACACATTATAGTTACAAAGCTTTCACTCTAGACTCCCCCGTGCCATGCCTAAAGCCCCTCCGACAAGAGATCCTTTCTGTGATAAATGCTATGATTTACACTGATACAATAAGTAGAAAAGTCAGTATTCCTTCACCCTCTTCTCATATAATTCCTTGTCCTCTCGACTTAAAATTCACCATTCATTCCAATTCTCTTGGCCTGTATCTTTCTCTCCCTGACAAATATGGTACAATCCAAAAAGTTCAGAGGCGTCAGGCAACGTCACTGGGGGTCTTGGGTTTCCGAGATTCGACACCCTTTACTGTACATTTACACTTTTGATCATGTTCGACTGTCTATGTTCTTGCAGTCAGAATAATCAGTTTATGAATGTTAATGGATTTGATTTCGTTGATTGTTTTGCAGGAAGAGAAGGGTGTGGTTGGGGACTTTTGAGACGGCGGAGGAGGCGGCGAGAGCCTACGACGAGGCGGCGATTTTGATGAATGGCCGGAATGCCAAAACAAACTTCCCTTTTGTTGCTAGCCAGGATGCAAATGATAATAGTTCTCCATCATCCTCATCATCTGCAAATTCTCTTTCGACAATTCTTAGTGCAAAACTGCGAAAGTGTTGTAAATCACCATCTCCTTCTCTCACTTGTTTAAGGTTAGACACTGAGAATTCTCATATCGGAGTATGGCAAAAGCGGGCCGGGGTACGGTCGGATTCGAATTGGATGATGACTGTTGAGCTTGACAAGAAGAATGATCAGCCACCGTTGCCAGCGGCTGAGGTGGAGATGGCGCCGGAGATGGAGATCGAAACCCGGGATGGGGTAGATGAAGAAGAAAAAATTGCATTGCAAATGATTGAAGAACTTCTTAACAGGAACTGAAAATTGCTACGTATCATTTTCTTAGTTCGATTGAATTAAGTTGTGTTAATTTGTTGGAAAATGCCAAACGAACATCGTGGTTGACACAAAGGAAGACACTACACTCACAGTCGAGGTGTGGGTCCCGCACGAATAAAATAATGCCACCCTCCATGTGAGTGTATTGTGTCAACCAATGTGTCAAACTTTGTGGTAGTGTAGCATGATTGTAATTTGATTGTCATGTAGCAGTGCATCGAGACTTTGAAGAAATATATTTAAATGTTATACCTTAAGAGATTGTATATATTGATTGGGACTTCCTAAGTCGTAGGGAATTATTTTTCTTCAAAAATCACAAAAGAAATGGAGTTACAAGTGGAAGATTTCATTTGTAATTGGTGTTTTTCATTTGAAGGTCTTGGAATATTTGAAATAATTAGAAATTACACTCACCACCCTTTTATCTTTGGAAGTTCCAATTTTGCTTCTACTGCTTTTTTATTCACTACATGCGATTTTTATTTTTCCTATTAAAAAAAAAAAAAACTGTCTGGAAAATGGTTTGGTAGCACTTGGAAACATATATAGCAGATCAATTTCACTCCGGTATTAAATTTCTTTTGACAGGTACAAATAAGACTTACGTGTCACACAACTACAACAACAAACTCGTTCCATATAAATTTAGGCTCGACTACATGAACATATTTTGCTACTTTGTCCAACCGAAAGATAATGCAAAACACTTGAGAACTTGTGTTTTGAATATCAATCTGCATGAGGACATGCAGGTAGGTTAAAAATCCCAAACCTTAACATCAATGATATGTGGACAGGTCGTAGAGTATGATTATTATTCGTATAATTAGCAGAAGAAAATGTTTATTAAATATAGATGAAGCTCGAAAATCGGAATACCGGTTATGGAATAATCCACTACATGATTGGTACTATGAGGTAGACACAAAGTTGAATATAATTAATAGTTTCCGAAGTTGTTGTGAAGAGACACACACACACACCCACACCCACATGGAGAAAACTTAAGAACTCTTAATAGAATCATTTTTTTTTAAATGTTGCATCATGCAAATTAAGTTTAATTATTTTGACTAATTCACATTCCTAACAATCTATGTGTTGACACACTAAAAGTGCAGCCCAATTCGAATAGCCCAAAGGATAAAGTCCAACTGGACAATTCAGGATGAAGGCCCAAATAAGGTTATTAATGAATTCAGTGAAAGCCCACGAACGCGGTAACACCATCGCCCAAACTTACAAGACTCCCAAGATCTAAGCGAATGAAGTGCCTTGCAATCGCCCAAAGTTATAACCCCGTCATCGTCCAAACCTTCGAATCGCCCAAAATCTTAGCAAA